AAATAGTACCTTTAATTACGAAATCAAACACAGAAAACTAACTCAATCCAAACACTATCGCTCTCATCTTTCATTCATTGCTAAAATACCTTCCATGGAAAAGCCATTCACACTTCCCCAGAAAATCAAGGAGCCTGCCGCTGGGGGATCTTGGCAAAACAAGATTTTAGTGAAACAATAACATAATTTGTGTTCGATTTTCCAGCAACACCACTCCGATATGCCTGGCATCCCCCACCTCAGCCTGGCCGCCCACAAATTTAGTGAAATTGGCTATAAGCCGGGCAATTAGCAAACATTTTCACGCACTGCACGCGTTCGCGATGTTCGCTGATGGCCAAAACGTGAGCGAGGCGTGAGCATAAATACGATGGAAAATGGCAGTAATTAACTGGATTCGAAATCGGATTCGGAATGGAAATGGGAATCCGAGCTGCTGCTGGAGATCTCCGCCCGGGCAGCAGTTCAGCGGCCGTTTTCATAAACATAAAAAGCCAATTTCCATAACATTTTCTATACACACATACACCCGGCGAGTAGTTTTTTCGGTGTTGGATGCAACATGAAACGGCGGCAGCGGGAGCAACAGTTGCTGTTGCTACAAATTCGCTGTTGCTAGAATATCGTTTATTGAAACATTAATTGCCCATGTGAAAATCACTTTAACGGACGTGGCCCGCCGATCGAATTTGCATTTTTTCCAGCTGCTTCTCCGCGATTCAAGACTGAGACTGAGACTGAGACACTTGTTTAAGTTTTCTCATCGGGGTCGTCGGGTGTTACTCCCCGGCTTCCTTTTGCCATTGCGATAATTGAAATTTGATGTTGGACATTTTTTGTGTGCTATTTTGGGCAGTGTTGCTGCCTGCTGTTGTTTTCGGTGGGGATTAGAAATCCAATAACTAGTCTTGGGGAATTTGTAAGTTACGTTTAAGCGTTTAAACTGTGGTAATAGAAATTAGTGAGAAGGAATCTACAATATCTACACAAAATGTTCTTTAAAAGTAATATCAATAAATGTTAAGGAAGTTTTATAGATATTTACAAATGGAAGCAGCAAAGAAGAGCCTAGTAAATTGTTTCCTCATAAGAACCTAACATATTTAAAGACCTTGAATTTACTTTATAAAAGCCTTGTCTTGTTTAAAATATATATATAAATGTGTATAAATAATGCCTGATTAATAATAATTATAATGTGAACAATAAAGCCACGACCCCTTGTTTGTTTTGCCACTCCAACAAGTCTCCCCTGACAGTTCTACGCATTCCCGTGAACCATTTTGCTTCGGTTCTATGGTAATGTTTTTGGGGTCTTGACAATCGACAATTGAAATGCCTTCAATTGCACTTCACAGCTTAATCACAAGACACCGAGTCAAGTCAACAGTTGTAACACCTACACTAGACAACACAAAACGATTGACAACCTGAACTGTCAACGCATTGAAAATCGCTTGAGTGACTGCCATGCCAGGCCACGCCCTTTCCAACCCTGTGTCCCCCTTGATAATACACAAGAAAAAATGTTTACTAAGTTTTATTTAAGATATATATAAGAAATAGGTGTTCAATATGCTTTTATGCAATATAATGCGACCCTGATATTCTGGATAAGTTTTAAAAGAAAGCCCTTAAATAATACCTATATAAAATATATATTTATTAAACTCTTTTGAAATTTAATTACTTTTAATTCCACATTTTTGGGACAGCTTTCTAGAGTTTTTTAAAGTTAATAGTTTTCTAATAAATCAATAATAATATAGTAGGCACCCTAGGTCCTAATATTTTTCCCCAGTGCATTGCTGCTTGGCGTCGCCGGTGGCAATCGAGTGAGAGCGAGAAAACATGTCCACACATCGAGGAAAAATAAAAGAGTTACCATAATGAAAATGTCAACCCGTTGGCGGAGTGCAAAGTCCACTGTACTCGAAGGAAGGAGGTGTGCCCAGCAGGGGGGGCGGGGCAGATAAATAAGAGAATAATACGGCGGCAAAAGGTACCCGGAGCAGACAATAGTTCACAGACCCAGTTTGCAACTGAAAACTGCAACTGCAACTGCGAAATATCACGCGTGATTCATCGGCAACAACTGCACAGCAGCCGCCCACTCACGCACAAAATGCATATGCAAATGCGGCTTTTATGCTTGTTAGAGCAACGCCTGCGTCTCCCAATGGAAATTTGTGAACTTTACTTATTTATTAAGCCAGTCAAGTCGTAATTATGCAAAACGGGACAAGAGCCACAAAAGTGCTGCTGATGGGGCAAGAGCAACAAGCATTTAGGTGAGGGGATGCTCAGGGAAACTGGCATAAATAATTGTGATGTTGCAGAAATACATAAAATAATTAATGGAGGAAATATAACAGAAGGTAACTAAACATAAAATAAATATTTAAGAAATAATTCCAATCCCTCAAAGAAAGGTTTCTAGTTTTCTGGGTTTTTTTTTTTTTTATAATCACTAGAACCCTCACTAGAGATCAGATTTTATCTAGCAATTTGATTACACAATTGCCAAATATTTGTCAGGATCGAGAAACGACTCAACTGCGAGTGTACTTGAACTCCGCACTCGTTAGACTCAACAGTCAAAGTGCAAAACCACAAACAAGCTGGCAACAGCGGGAACCACCATTAAGTACACAGAAAACAAAAAAAGAAAATTTTTAAAATATATAAAATTATAATACACTATTGAACAAGCTTGAATTTATTACTATTTATTTCATCTTAATTTTATAATTTAAGCTTCTGGACAAAAAATAACATTAATAGATGCTGTGGCTTTTGGTTGAAATTGTTTCAGTGTAGCAGCAACACTAGCAACACTTTGACAATCGCAATCGCAGTTAGCAGCCGAAAATAGTAGACAAGCAACACGATTTGTGGCATTCAAAAGTACAAAAATATAAGCAGCGTTTTTAACTCAGATCTGGGAGATAGGCATTCAGATACTTTGACAGAAAATTGGTTAACTTTTGAGATACATTGCATTTTACAAGAGATATTTGTGTGAAAGGAAATGGAATTTTAAATCCTGACTTCAAGAATTTGTGTAAATACAATAAGAAAATTCTATGAATAATAGAATAATAATCACATTTTTTAAATTATATTTTAAGGCTTATTTTTAGACAATTGTTACAAGGAAATATATACTTTTTATGGCTTAATATAAAAACTTTACCAGATTCAATAAAAATAAATATTTCTTTAACTCAGATATTCCCCGAGCTGAAATCAATCAATAATATTCGGAAAGGGTATATGATTTTCCTTTGCCCTTCAAGGAAACCTTTTTAGGGCGCCGCCACCGTCGTCGATGGCAATCCCTTGGCAGCAGTTTTAACCCGCTTTCTGGGCCCACGGCTCAAAGGGCCCTAGCCCTGACAGTAGCACCCACTTGGGGCTCTGTTTCAGTGGGAGCTCTTGGCATCTCTGGCGACGACAATTTGGCAATAATTTGCATATCGCTGCAGTGATCAGTGCTGAGTTTTGCAGGGGAACGTGTTGGCATTTTCCATGGAGGGACAGAGATTCATCATCATCCACCAGAGAGTTTCCAACTCAATTAGAAGCCCAAATGCTGCGACGCTTGTTTTCCACCTTTTTCCCATTTGTTGTTTACCTCAACTTGGGTTTGGAGATGCGGCGCATAATGAAATCGAAACTGAAACCGAAAACGAAAACGAAGCACAAGTCCCAAGACAACGGCGAGTTCAATGTTTTGTTTTCAAAATGTGCCCTGAAAATCCTTGAATAGTGTCATCGCCCAAGACCAATTAATTTACAAATTCTTTAAATTCTTCCGCAATCAGAGGGGAGTGAAAAACACAGACTACGAATGGTAGATGATCCCCACGAAATCCCAAATCTCAGATCCACTGGCCGAGACGTGTCTCCTTGTTGTGCTGCGAAAAGTCAACGCACTTAGCCTGCCTCATGAATTTTACTACAACTGCCGCTTTACGCACTTTTATCTGAATAATATATATCTTGAATAATAATATATCTAGAGTGATATTCTCAGCTTTTCTTCTTGTTTTGTGAATCTCAAGCAAAGGTATTCATGCGTGGGCAATACGGAAATTTTTGATGTAGGGATTATTCCGGAGTCGTCCAAGGAGAAAATAAAGCGTTGAACTATGGATGTACTAAAGAGATTTTCAACAAAAATTTTAAGCTACAGAGATTGTCAACCGAAAAGGATCTGGATAAACGTTGGAATTTCACACCTTAGAAATCAAATTTGAAATATTGAAAGCTATTTTCTTAGTTTATCGGAAAATCTGGGCACACTCGAACACGAAACCCTCAGATCTGGCACTTTTGGTCGCAGGATCACTGGAAGTCTGGTACTTTTGGTCGCTGGGACCGAAAAGTCTGGCAACACTGTTTTTAGTTTTTTTTTCTCCCAGTGTTTCCAGTTTTTTTCTCAGTGTAAGCAAGCAGTTCGACAAAACAGTTCGCAAGCAGTTCTGCCAAGCAGTACACCAAGCATCGAAATCGCAAAGTCTGGCAGCGCTGGTGCACGAGCGACCAACGTTGCCAGAAAAGCCGGCGGGCACACTGCTTTTTTCTTATTGGACCCGTGCTGTCAGTTTAGCTTATTACAAGCTAGATCTTTCATATTTAATACTGGAAAATCTTGGAAAATGTAAACTTTAAATGCAATCTTAAGCATAAGGTTTGCTTTATATGTTTAAACAAAATTGTTTAATTTTTAAATACTCATATTATTATTATCATTATTAATTGTTGTGCCAAATAAATATAAGGAATATGATGAATAAATATTATTTAAACAATTTTTTAAAGACAAGATAATAAATTGCTTTATTGATTTTTAAGTTAAAAGCTACTTGAAATAGTAACATAGATGTGTAAGTTATGTGCAAGTTGTATATTTTCAGACATGATAAATATAGCTAAACTGGCAGCACTGGCCAACAGGAAAAACAGTGTTTTGGTATTGAACGGAAACTGGTTACACTGCAACAATCGATCGATTTTAACCAAAATGTTTGGCATTTTCAAAGCTTTTTAAACTATACGAGTCTCGACTTGCTCTCAGATACTTTTTGGGCGCGTTTCGATTCGGATATCGGTCGGTGATAACAATATGGGTAACTTTGACGGCGATTCTGGAACGGTTTTCGAGCAGAGCTACGCGACCACAAATGGGGCGAATGGAAAGCTGCCGAATGGAAATGGAGCCGCAATCGGAAGCCCCAGCAATGGGGGGCTGAACTTGAACCACGCGGAGGAGCCACGGGGGGAGGCGGAGCCCTTCCTCAGCCAGCGAAAATTTTCGGCGCCCGCTTACACGGAAATTCGCACGCGCCGCTGCAACGCCAACGCCGCCGCCGAGGCCAAGGTGAGCAGAGCTTTCCCCCGTTCGGTGGGGATAGGAAGCAAAAGAAGCACCTGCCAAAACAGCCAAAATAAGCAAAAAGCCATTTAAATCGCCGAAAATGTGAAGCGAACGTGGTTCCGTGCTCTCCCTCTCTCGCTCTCGCAGCCGGCGAATCATTGATTTTGTCATAGTGTGCGTTCGTGTGTGTGTGTGGAGGGAACATAAATAGAGCGAGAGAGAGAGAGAGAGGGAGAGAGTGCGTCAGCTGTAGAGATTCGCCGCAATTGTTGTTGCCGCTTGCACACCCTTCGGGGAATTCGCCTCAATTTCCCCGCTTTTTCTCTACGATTTTCCCATTTTCTGGGTCAGCCGCCCTCAGCTGTTTTACTGCAGTGTTTTCCACCCTGTTTTCCTCGCCAGTTTTCCCTTTTCTTGGCCGCCCATTTGTTTTTGTTTCAACATTTCACGCGCCGAAAGTGTTGCCCAATTGGACATTTTTAGCTATTTCCTTGGGGGTCATCATGGCTGACTTTGAAGATCGTTAAAATATATTTTATGATTCTAAATTTTCTAGGGTACAGTGTAAAAAAGGAGCCATTAACTTAAATTGGAACTTGAGTACAATTTTAATTAGCTTTTTAAAACAAAATTAGTTAATAATAATCTCACTTGAGGGCTGGCAGCACATGGCTAATTACCCACTTAAATAATTTGTATATTATATTAGTTATTCGATACTATTTTGTTTCAAAAATTTCTTTAAAATTGTTCCTACTAGAAAATCTATTAGAAAGGGACTATCCCATTAGGTAATTATATACCTATTAAGGTTTAGATTATAAAAATCTCTTAGAATTATAACGAAACGAGCTTTTTGGTTTAAATTAGCCTCTAAATTACCTATAATTTAACTAATACTACTACCAAATTCCCTACAAACACTAGACCCCATAATAAATCTATCATCAAAGGGAGTAAACCCCTAAAACACACTCTCCCACCTATATTTTACATCCTATGCACTCGGTAATCGATCTATTGTCACTTCTCCACCGACACTCCTGGGTCTGGTCATGACTTGCCCACGTTTGTTTGTCCCCAATACGTACATGAAGCATAGGTGCAACTTGTTTGTGGAAAGAGCCCATTACCACTCGGCTTCAGTATTGAATCGTGGTAATAATATTGTCATGCCATGCCGGGAATGCCTTATCAGCCCATTCCGGGCAATCTTTTTACGTAAAGCCTCGCAGAATGCGACGCAACGCCGGCCGGGTGGTGAATCACTATATTCCACAATCGCTGAAGGCAGCGCTTTTTTTCGGGTGGGCGTTGATTTAAGATAAGATTCGATTATTATTTTTTATATTTGAGTAAGTGTGAGAGTGCATAAGACAATTTTGTAGGAAAGCTTACCAGAGATTATATGCTTAGGAGGGAGGCTTTTGATTCCATTTAATTTTAAAATAGGAAATGAGGGGATTTAACTAAATATATTTCATTAAAATTAATGGTACTGGATGAAAGAATATTTGTTTGTGAAATGTCATGATTCTTTTCATAATTTTTATTGGATATAAACAATAAAGCTTAGACTTCATTCTATAAATAAGTAGAATTTCTAAGTAATGTTATTATTGCTACATGATTTGTATTTCTTAGAAGAGTAATAAGACCAGGGCTCAGTTCTGTGAAAGGATTCTCTTTGATAATACGATATCGTTATTGTTTAGTTAAGCTTTTAAATTTAATGAAAAACTTCTAGTAACTGTAAGCATGCTTTATTAATGTCCACTCCCTAGGTAATTTTCGCATGTTTTATGAATTTTATCAGCAGGCTAGTACAATGTCTGCGCGTGTTAGGAACTGGGTACCCTTGAGATATGGGGCTCTGGGATTTATAGCTTAGTTTTATCAGCATGCAAAATTACTTTTATTTAATTCAAATTTTTTTTCTTCATCAAGATAAAAATAACCAACCAAATTGTGGTTAAGCACCTACTTAAGGAATATTTAAAATAAGCTAGTGAAGAAACTGCTCTGATTCAATAAAATTAGCTAATGACTCAGAAGTAATAAGACAACGGGAACCCCTACAAGTCATTGAGAACTTTGGTTTGCACCGGCCGAGCTATCGGTTGTTATCTTTGTTAGCTGAAAACCATGACATATTGAAGACTTTATCTAGTTTCCAACCCCTTACTTCCTTCCTTCCTTCCTGGCCTCCTGTTGCCTAATTAGTATTACATATTTTATATATATTTTGCTTTTTATCTAGGAATTTACTCCACTTGTTGGCATGTTCGTCTACATGGAGTAACCTATACCCTACATTCGACAAGTCCATTAAAAACCCAGTAGAGCGTAAACCAAATGATCATCCATTACTTCTCAGCCGCTTGGAAATATTTAGTAAACACGCCCGGGGGCAAATGATAATAAACACGAAATATTATTGTCGCCGACTCGTTATTGTTATACGATTAAGTTGGGGCTGGTATATAGACACACACGACTCGTTGTTTATATCAGCCGTGCCTGGGAAGAGCCACCCTCTCAATTAAAGAGGGGTACTCCCTATCGCATCCATGGCCCGAGCTAAAATCAATAAGTGAATTATACGTATTGTTCATTTAAATAAGTTAATTATACCTCTTCACTCGTTAGCAAGCTGGAAGTGTGCCATGATATTGGGCTACACATGTATGGCTTCTGTCAGTCAGTCTCTCTCCATGTGTGACTTCATGTCGAACTCGGCTCATGTGAGTGCCAGAGCTATAGCTACGGCTACATGTCGTGTGACTACCTTCATATATGTACCGCGCACATACATATATGTAGATCTGTTAGTTTAATGTTAATTGGCTGGTGAATTGACGGAACGCATTGAAAGGGCAAGCGAGTTAAGATGTGCTGACAGCGGGACTTGGGACTGAGATCGGGTGAAGAATCACGACACAGTTTATCAGAAACATTCTATCGAGATTGAAAATAAAGATAATATAGTCGGAAACACGATCCATAAAGCTTTACAAAAACAAACCTAGTGGAATTTGTCACCAGAAAGGCGACTAAAATAGTTAGACGCCGCTCTCTAGAGATTGCAAAAACAAATCATAAACAATAGGATTCATCTTTACTAATTTTAATGCAAAACCTTTTCCCCAGTGTAGTTCAATTATAGTTTGCACCTGTTGGTCATAACGCTCCCTCCGATAAGTGATTTTCAATGGGTGCTATGTAGATTTCCAGCGATACGCAACAGCAAATTCGTAATCAATAAGCGATAACTAATAGTTGTTGTCTCACTTTTTTCCCACAGAATCGCTCGCCCAATTACCATCCAGAGAAGAGGTCTATCGCCAATGGACATGCCAAGGTTCTGCGAGATCACGAGGAAACGCAGCCCAATAAGGTGGAGGGAATACTGTCTCCGGAGGTGGAGCATTCCCAGAAGACCTCCTTCGAGGAGGTACCGCTGCACACGGCCTGCCTGACGTACTTGGGATTCTACCTGCTAATGATTCTGGGCTACATCAACCAGCTGCTCTTCGTGCCCAAGGTGGCCACGGAGAAGGGACGCGAGGGCTACGTCACTCTGTACGATGCCTTTGAGAGCTTCTACTCGAGATATGTTTACCGGAGGATCAAGGATTGCTGGAATCGTCCCATCTGCAGTGTCCCGGGGGATGAGCTCACCCTGAAGGATCGCGTAAGCGATGACTATGGCTGGAGCTTCAAGTTCACCGGAACTGAGACGCGCTGTTTGAATCTGGGTTCCTACAACTACCTGGGATTTGCGGCCGCCACAGGACCCTGCGCTGATGAGTCGGAGGAAAAGGCCAGGAACTTTGGATTAGCTTACTGCAGCTCCCGCTGTGAGCTAGGCAACAACGAGCAACTCCAAGAGCTGGAGAGCCTTACAGCCAGATATTTGGGAGTGGAAGATGCCATCGTTTTCGGCATGGGTTTCGCCACGAATGCCCTGAATCTTCCTTCGCTTCTGGGGCCCAACTGTCTGGTGATCAGTGACGAGAAGAACCATGCTTCCATCATCCTGGGCCTGCGTCTGTCCGGAGCCACCACCAAGGTATTCAAGCACAACAACATGCGGGATCTAGAGCGAGTTCTCCGTCAGGGTGTGTGCTACGGCAATCCCAAGAACGGAGGCAAGCCATACAAGAAGGTGATGATCCTTGTGGAGGGCATCTTCAGTATGGAGGGTTCCATAGTCCGTTTGCCGGAAATTATTGCGTTGAAAAAGAAATACAAGGCCTACTTGTATCTTGATGAAGCTCACAGCATTGGAGCTATGGGATCTCATGGCAAAGGAGTTACGGATTATTTTAACGTGGATCCCAAGGATGTGGATATACTGATGGGCACTTTTACGAAGAGCTTTGGCAGTGCCGGCGGCTATCTGGCGGGAACAAAGGTATTTTTTTTAGCTTCTCTTACTTTTGTTGTATTTTTAACTAATATTTTGTCTACTTTTCCAGAAACTGATTGACTTTCTACGCACGAATAGTCACGCCCATTGCTACGCCAGCTCCATCTCGCCGCCCATTGCCCAGCAGATTATGACCTCCATGAAGACCATAATGGGTGAAGATGGCACCGAAATTGGCCGCAGGAAGATCATGCAGCTGGCCAGGAACACCCGCTACTTCCGCCGTCGTCTGGCTCAACTGGGAGTGATTACTTATGGCCACGAGGATTCGCCAGTGGTGCCCATGCTGGTGTACCTGTTCTCCAAAATTGGGTGAGTTTCAAGTTTATTTCATTACATTTACAATTCAAAAGGCAATAGTTTTAGTTGTCACATTAAATACTTTTAAGAAGCACTGTATACAATACAACATGTTCCGAAATCAGTACGACAGTGATACCACGGTGTGGAGTCCACAGGGCCGCCTCTTCCAGGTGGAGTACGCCATGGAGGCGGTGAAGCAGGGAACGGTTACCGTGGGCCTGAAGAGCAAAGACTACGCCGTGCTGGTGGCCTTGTGTCGAGCCTCGTCGGATGTCGATTCAATTCAAAGGAAAATCATGTCGGTGGACGCTCACCTGGGCATAGCCATATCGGGTTTGACGGCCGATGCCCGCCAGTTGTGCCATTACCTACGCAGCGAGTGCATGGCCTACCGGCACTCGTACGACACAGAGTACCCAGTGCGACGCTTCGTGGAATCGTTGGGCAACAAGATGCAGGCCACCACCCAGAGCTACAATCGTCGGCCCTACGGGGTGGGAATGCTGGTGGCGGGCTACGATGTCAAGGGCGCCCACATTTACCAGGTGATGCCCTCGGCCACAGTGCTCAACTGCAAATCGATGGCCATTGGGGCTCGCTCCCAGAGCGCACGCACCTATCTAGAGCGAAACCTGGGCAACTTTGAGAACTGCGACATGGACGAACTGATTTGTCATGGGATTCAGGCCATACGTGGCTCGCTGGGCACTGAAGACCAGCAGGATCTCACGATCAATGCGGCTGTTGTGGGCAAGGACAGGCCGTTCAAAGTGCTAACCGACAGCGATAACCAGCGTTGTCTTATGCAGGCCAAGGGCATGGGACAACCTTCGTTTATTGATGCTTTCTCCGAAAAGGGGATGAGCGATGATGATGAACAGGGACCCAGTGGCAGTGGAGTGCCCAGAGATATCGAATCAGATGATATTGGCCCCAGTGAATCCACAACAGGACCTTAGTGGAGAGTGTTTCATCCAAATTTATATTTAAATTTGATTGTATTAGCTTGAAAAATACAAAATTTTATTAATTAGTTAGAAATAAATTCGTCAGGCAATACATATTTTATTCTACAATAAAAATATATTTATTTAATCCCCTTTATCTCTATTTCCAGCGCTGTCGTTCGCACCTTGACCACCCGCCACATCGCAGTGGTGGGCGCTGGCTTCCCTGCCACACCCATCATGGAGGGACGCATACGCTTCTGTCTGTCGGCTGCCCACACCAAGGAGCAGCTTGACTATGCTCTGGAGGCGATAGACGAGATCGCCGACGATCTGGGCCTGAAGTATTCCAACAAGCCACGCGATCCGAATCCCATTATATACTAGGAGGACTCACAAGCCCACTTTAGGAGATAAGCACGCGTAATGGGATGCTACGATTCCTCGCAGCCTTCCAGATTGTTAGACCAAAACTAAGAACACAGTCCACAAATTGCTAGATGGGTCTCGTTGCACACTGGGCTTTTCTGATTTGACTAACTCCCTTGGGTATATCCATCGGAGGGGAGAACAAGGAACAAAACACAGTACAGCACATAGCTTAAATGATAAACTATTATTAATTATTTAGCATTTACCTCTACGTAGTTGTTATTGTAATTGTAAGCTCCAAAATGTCTTCTTGATCGGTCTGCAAACACATTGAGTGTATTTAAAAATGTATTAAGAGCCAACCAACCAGGTCAGGTTTTGGTTACCTTCAGAGCTAAGCTAAGGGAATCCCCTTTATCGTGGGACAGTCGAGCACCTCGCTTCTACCATTTAAGCATTTTCAAGCTACTAGCGATAGCGTATTAATTTGTGAAGAAAGCATCACCTAGCTGGGCCTTAGTGTGGCCCAAGAGTCGGGCCGTAGATCCACAGGGCTTTATTGTCAGGAACGTATATATATATATGTATAATGATTATGTATTAATGATTTTATTTTTCTATCAAGAAATAAAGAATTGTTGCTTTATGTATTGTAATCACTGTTTTGTTTTCATTTTAGAAGTAGAAGCAACTGATGGATTTCTACATACATTTTACAGGCATGTTTGAAGTGTAAGCTCTAACTTTTACAATAGCTCTTGTTTTTACACAAGCTGTGACCACAACTTACCTAGAAGTGCTGTGGCAGAGTTGGCTAAAACGGTTGTAGTATATGGTTGGAAAATTGGGTTTCTTTTTAAATCTGCTCTTTTCCCGAATTTATTTTTTATTCTTAGAAAATTGTACGTTTATGTACGTTTTTAAAATTGATAATTTAATTCTACTAATACTCTAGAATATGAGAAACAACAAGAAAGGAAGCTAACTTCGACACGCCGAAGTTCGTATACCCTTGCAGATTGCAATTGGATCACTAAGAATCGAGCCATTCTGGTTAAATAATTAAAAATAAAAAATAAAAGAAAATATATATATAAGTTGTATATTTATTCATAACATTAATAAAATGCTGAAAACACACACAAAACAGTTTGACAGTTACAGTAACATTCCTAGCTTTACATTTTCTGATGCAGATAAGCATCACTGATGCAGATGAGCATCACTGATGCAGATGAGCATCACTGATGCAGATGAGCATCACTGATGCAAGTGAGCAAAACTTTTCATTCAAATTGGCCGCTTTCCAAACTGGGGTAACAGGCGAACAGAAACCAGCAGCAAGCAACAGAAAACTGGTATAAACTGTTATAAATAATAATAAATTCAACTGGCAAATTTGAATTTGAATTTAACGACGATCAGTTTCAGTGTGCCCAGGTGCAGTTGTAAAATAATACCTAAATTTGGATTCAAAGGGTTTGAGTCTCCGCTTACTTCCGCCGGCTCCTAAATGGTTTGAAACTTGGACTTTTTATAACAGTTTATACCAGTTTTCAGTTGCCTGCTGCTGATTTCTGTTCGCCTGTTACCCCAATTTGGGAAACGGGCAATTTGCATGGAAATGTTCGGAAATTTGGATGGGCTGCTGTAGAGATGTTGTTGTTAAAAGGTTGTTGTTGCCATAAGCTGTTGTTGTCGGCAACAAATAGGTATAAATGCATAAAATGAAATATAACAGTTTATACCAATTATTATTTTTGCCCAAATGTTTTTATAACAGTTTATACCAGTTTTCAGTTGCTTGCTGCTGGTTTCTGTTCGCCTGTTACCCCAGTTTGGAAAGCGGCCAAATTTTAGAAATTTTGCTCACTTGCATCAGTGATGCTCACTTCCATCAGTGATGCTCACTTCCATCAGTGATGCTCACTTCCATCAGTGATGCTCACTTCCATCAGTGATGCTCACTTCCATCAGTGATGCTCACTTCCATCAGTGATGCTCACTTCCATCAGTGATGCTCACTTCCATCAGTGATGCTCACTTCCATCAGTGATGCTCACTTCCATCAGTGATGCTCACTTCCATCAGTGATGCTCACTTCCATCAGTGATGCTCATCATTGGTAGTTAGTGAGATGCCATTTTGTCCCAATAATGCAAAATAGCTAGATGAGCATCACTGGCAGCTAGTGAGATGCAATTTTCTACCAATGGTGTACATGCGCATCACTGCCATTAAGCCCGACTTTATTGGCCTCCAATATTGAAATATAGCCAGATGACCATAACTGATGCAGATGAGCATCACTCATGCAAGTGAACAAAACTTTTCATTCAAATTGGCCGCTTTCCAAACTGGGGTAGCAGGAGAACAGAAACCAGCAACAAGCAACTGAAAACTGGTATAAACTGTTATAAAAACATTTGAGCAAAAATAATAATTGGTATAAACTGTTATATTTTATTTTATGCATTTATACCTATTTGTTGCCGACAACAACAGCTTATGGCAACAACAACCTTTTTACAACAACATCCCTACAGCAGCCCATCCAAATTTCCGAACATTTCCATGCAAATTGCCCGTTTCCCAAATTGGGGGTACCAGGCGAACAGAAACCAGCAGCAAGCGACTGAAAACTGGTATAAACTGTTATAAAAAGTCCAAGTTTCAAACCATTTAGGAGCCAGCGCAAGTTAGCGGAGACTCAAACCTTTTGAATCCAAATTTAGGTGTTATTTTACAACTGCACCTGGGCACACTGAAACTTATCGTCGTTAAATTCAAATTCAAATTTGGCAGTTAAAAGATTTAAAAAAATTTGTTTAATTCTAAAAAAATTCTTAAATAAATATAAAAAATCTAAAAAATGTTAAAAATTCAGGAAAAAAAAAATTTAAAATTCAGAAAAATTTTAAAAATTTAGAACAATTTTTTAAAAATTTAGAAGAATTGTAAAACTTTCGAAAAAAATGTTTAAAATTCAGAAAACAAATTTAAAAATTTAGATTTTGCTTTCAAAATAATTAGATTTTTCCCCAAATGATCCCAAATAAATGCCGCCTTCACAAAAAAATTGCTCATTGATTTCACCATCTTTTATTGATTCATATTTGTGTGTTCCATCAATTACATTTACATATTTAAATTGCATTTATAAATATTTTAATTATTTACGCCTGCTGCAGGGTTTTAACTAGCCCGGAGCCAAGATCCGATCACCGTCCTCCACTGCCATCGGGTTGAGATCTGTCATCCCAGCTGCTCGCTCCTCCAGCTTCACCTCTGCCGATCAGGTGATCATCAATCAACAATTACAATGAATTTGATGAACTTTTGCTTCCCAGATCCCTGCGCATGTATGTTTATCTACTCTCAGATATAAGCTTTTTTTATTATTCTAGAATTTTTGTATAAATTTTATAAAAATCGGACAACTATATCATATAGCTGCCATAGATGCGATCGGTAAATGTATAAAATATGTAAAGCTGGGAATGTAAAACTGAAACTGTCAAACTGTAAACATAATAAGTATAGGTAAAATTTAATGAAACTCTGTTTTGTGAGTGTTTTCAGCATTTAAATCTATAATATAAACATCGAAACCAATCTGCAGGGTATACAAACTTCGGCGTGCCGAAGTTAGCTTCCTTTCTTGTTTATATTAAAAAACTTCTTGACTTTTTTTAAATTAAAACAAGAAAGGAAGCTAACTTCGGCACTTTATAGGGTCGGAAAGGTCTCCTTCACTGCGTTGCAAACTTCTGACTGAAATTAAAATACCCTGCAAGGGTATAAAAATATTGCAGGGTATTATAATTTTAGTCCGAAGCTGGCAAAGCAATGAAGCAGTCATTTCCGACCCTATAAACCATATATATTCTTGATCAGCATCAATAGGCGAGTCTTTCTAGCCTTGTCCGGAAGAAAAAAAATATTTTTAATTTTTTTTTTTAAATTCGATAAAATTTCCAAAAACTGAATAAAATTTTAATATTTTATAATATCAAATTTAGTATGCAGATTTATTAACCTTCTTTAAATCAGCACAGAGCAGCTTTCCGAATTGAATTTAATGCTATTTTGGCTGAGTTAAAATATTTTTTAACGTTGATTTGCCTTTAAAATTATCATATAAAAATATGATAAATTCCAATATTTCCGGATTTCTTGAATGGTATTTTGATTTTCTTGATTCTTAATTCTATGTATATTTTTCATAATATAAATATTATAATATATATATTTATTATAATACCCAGTAAGTGCACAAAAAAAAATCACTCTGAAAAGTACACTCATCCTTTCACGAAGCTGGAATTTATTTGAAACGGAAATTTAATTGTAATAAAATACAACCATATATTTTAGGTAAACTAAAAATGAATAATAAATATAAATCTAGACCGTAACCTGACAGTTATGCCTTCAATTGGTCTAATCTAGCCCCGACAAGCATCCACACTTTAAAGCCCCAAGGCCAGACGCCTCCGAAGTATTGAATAACAATTTTCTAATTAACAGTAACTCATGACATCTCTCCTGCACGGCTCCCCTCAGGCTCCTGCCCAGGATGACCACAATGCCAAATAAATTCCAATTGTAATTGTCTCGGCCTTTTAAAAAATTAAGACAAAGAGCGAACATACTACACTCGGATCGAAGGACAGGCGGGACAGGGCGGAGCAGTATGTTAAGAGTTCGTGTTGGTTTATGGGCTCAGGCAATACTTTCAATTTTAGGTTCTGGGCAATATTTATTGAGTTGTTCTCTGTTTGTCCTGTGGGGAATACATGTAAGTCGGAATCTGAATTTAGCATGAGAAGGGCCAGGCCGGAGCACTCGTTAAAATTGCATTCAAATCGATTTTCAAGTACAACAAAAAGTGGGGTTTTAAGGAGGGACAACTACTATATAAAGGATTAATGTAATTGAATTCAGATGGTTTCAAAAGTTCTTTTTTATTTTCAGAGTCTGAAATCGAGGTGCAAATATGACGATTATGCTTATTTCTTGGACCTAGTGGACCTTCAACGTAAAGGAAATGACGAGACCACATCAATTTCGAGGGATTTCATTTATGTACTCCATACTGTTTACTTTTGCGAGCTGCCAAAATGGAAAATGACAAAACACATTGGTACACAAAAGTATGTGCACATCCCTGCATATGCACGGGGCGGCGGGTGATGATGGGTGGCGCAGCCCTTTGCCAACTTCGGGGTGAGTAATTGACTACGTGCGTATAAAGTTTGTGTTGGCATTTTAACCAGAGGAGCAGCAGGAAAGTGCCTACAACGCCAAAGCCAACCACAGGACTCGGCCTGCCCTTGAGTGCGGTCAACTGAAGCGACTGTGTAGGGTGTGTGTGCAATCATAAATATGCATTCTGTTGTCCATTTGTCATGGTTTTTTTCTTTGCCCATCTGCATCTTGGATCCCGAAAGCTGCTTTCCAGAGCGCCATTTGATAGAGATTGATAAGGATAAGTGGGCAATCGGGAATCGAGCGGTGGTTGTCGATGGGTATATCCCTAAGCATTAAGCTTTTCAAGAATATTTTATATATTTTTAGTTTTTTTTTTCTTTACAAATTACTAATGCGATTTTCGCGTGCAGCTTGCTAAGTTCTACACCTGAACTTTTTGTTTGCTTTTTTTTTGGGAAAAATTACAACTTTCACTGGTTAAAAACATTTTCGTTTAAAGCGCAAAAAAAACCGTAACTTCGTGGTGTTCGGATGCCTTTTTGAATTGGTTATTAAATATATTTATATTTATTATTTAAACTTTTATATATATTATGAAATTATGAATTAAATGAAAGTATCGCCTTGAAGTGTTATTTAAATAATATAAAATATATTGGTGTATTTTTCCAACAGTGTAACTAAATTAAAATGAATTAAAGTATGTATATATCAATTATCAATTACATTTTATTTTATTTAATTATATTTTTTCCCTTTTTCTTTTTCTTTATTTTTTTTTTCGTTCCAGTTTCCTTTTCAAACTTCAACTTTCTTTTCACCATTCTTAGGCCCTATGTTCCCGCGATTCTCACTCACAAATAAAATTTTAATGTTTCCGCTTACTTGGCAAAATATGTGGGCAAGGTAAGAACACATTCGAGTTGTATTTTTCTTTCTTCTTAAAAAAGGATACACACACACTCGGAAGTACAATCCCAAGCACGGGAAGTTGCATTTTGTGTGCTCCATAATCTGATAAAATGTTGCAAAAAGTTTTTTCCCCACCGTCAAACTGGCGCAAAGGAGGGAATTTATGCAATGCGGAAAAATCCAAGTCCGAATCCTATTTGTAAACACTTGAAGCATGCAAATGGCAGCGTCTGAGTTATGCGCATACTTTTGATAGTCACTATGTGTGTGTGTGTAAAGCACACGCACAATAAGAAGATGCCTCAAAAGATAATAATAGGATAAAAGATCTACAACAATATAATCGATGACAATAATTGTTGAAATTGGAAAAGTAATTTAGGCTGTATCAGAACTTGTTATAAGAATTAATAAGACATAGACTTTAAGAGAGAAAACCTCTTGCTGGTCTACAGGAATATAAAAAATACATACATGGTTTAAACATTAAAGTTTTAAGTTTGTTTTTCAACTTGTGGTAATCTCTCCTTTTCACTTATACAAAACCTAAATCAATAAATAACTCATACGACTTCGATTCACCTTGGCAGCCCTTATAGGACACAGTCGGAGGGCGAATCCCTCTCTTTTCAATTTTGATTTCCATCAGCTCAGCGCCAGGACATCCCCGGCAAAGTGCAAACAAATTAATCTTAACCCCGTTGTGCCCGGGAGTAGATCGGCAATCTGTTACACGACACGGAGCGCAGTCAAACACTTCACTTCAGATGCTATTACTTAAGCACATGTTTTATAATAAGATTCCGGGACGATTTTTCATGGGCAAACGTGTCGCCCGGCTGGCTGTTCAGTTATGGATATACGATGTCAGGATGCCGAAGCAGGCAATGGCAGTGAGTGCTTCAAAGGGCCAAGGACAATCAGTCATTCGCCCGGCAATGAGGAGACGACGTACTATGCTTGACTTTTGTTGTTGGCTGTTGCTCAAAAAGGGATACTCTCGTCCTGCACACACACACACATACAGCCGTTAATCAATCACAGGACTCTTCGCCTCCGACAAGGAGCGATTTAATCAAGGAATTTGCCGAGATTTTTGGCTGCAAATTTAAATGGCTGGCAGAGTGTCCTTTCGGCTGCCGATGTAACCGCAAATTAAATTTGCTGACAAATGCTCCGAGGACAAGTGGGGAGGGTGGCCCGGCTCGACCGCAGCTTTCTAATTAATTCCAGGGAGAGATGGGCTCGATAGAAACGGCATTCGAATCCGGCAGACGACACCTTAGCACCTGACACCGGCACAAATGCTAAATGTCCTGGCCCACAAACTTTCGGCTCGAGTGGCTCCCCTTTGTTGGGCATCATTAAGTCCTGTGTTTTGTGGCCCGACTTGGGCTCCTTGTTAACATTTATGGTTATTGTTTTTTTCCAGACGCCCAGACGACGTGTGGGCGTGGCGGGGGCTAATTTCCCCAAATATGCAAGCAATTTACTGGTCCGAATTCAAATGTATCTGCCCGGGCAATATGCCGTTCTTGTGGTGCCGTCTGTTTATTTATTCGCCACATCGATTAGGCAGATGTGGAGGTGATGAAGATGATATCTTAGTTATATAGCAATGTAATTTTATTTGTCTTTAAGGATGGTATAAATGTAATTGCAGGACTTGAATTGAGAAGCTTCGATTGGGGTGTGGCAGTTGGAATAAAAATCGGTTTAAAAAATATTTAAAATTAAGTTGATTTGATTTTTCTTTCAATTTAAAATCGTTGCCTTTCTGCCTCAAATAAGAACCACAAAATGAAGCTATTATTGATTTTCCTGCTGCTGCTAATACTCCATATCAAATTCTACGGTATGGAACCCAATTCTGTTCAATCCTGCGATGATAAGCCCCCGGAAACCAGTAGCTGCGATACAGTAAAGCCTATTGAGCCAGCATTCTGCAGCCAAGCCTCGTACAAATTCCTAATGATGGACGACAATCCGACGGCCAACAACTCTGGACTGAAGGCCTCGCAAATAGCACACGATGCCGCCGAGGAGGCCAATGCTGCCAACGAAGCTCAAGCTGAAGCTGCCCAAAATGCCTCCCAGCAGGTGAAGTTAATGCTGGCAGAAAGAGCGATGGCCGCGGCCAATGCTGCCACGTCCTTGCTCGAGGGTAAACAGGCGATCGTGGATAGCTATGCGAATGAAATCCAAGGGGCCGAGTCGGTGGTGGCCCAGATTACGGCCTCCCTGGAGACAAGTCAGGCGAATGAGGAGGCCACTTGTGCTGCTCTCCGGATAGCCGACAATCATGAGGCCGCCATGCAAATTGTGGTGGATCAAATAAGGAGCGGCCTGGAAGACCTAGACACACTGGTGGAACAGTCCCAAGCTGATTTGGAGGAGGAGCAACAAATGGTGGCAAAGGCTAAGGACCTTGGCGACCGCCTGGCCAAAGAGTTTAAGGAGGCCAAGGCCGAGTATGATGAGGTGAAGATGGCCACCTGTCGTGCTGTTTCCGCTGCCATGGAAATACAGCGGTCGTTGCCCTCCAATTCTTGTTTTGCACGTAATATAGATTCTTTCCCGGGCAACAGCAGCAGCTGTGACGAGTGTCCATCCGGCTTGAAGGATATTATAAGTTTTTGTTAGAAATTAAATTTATTTTCCAGGTTCTTTGTTTTAAATAAAACTTCCTTATTTATGGCCTAAGTTTATTCTTAATACTTAGGTTCTTGCTTGAATGTTTTAAAACTAAAATATACCTTAAATTACCCGAAAGTGTTAAGTATTTATTCTTAGTAAATAAAGCTGCTCCACTTGACTTCAAGTGCCTGCAGTTTCCAAACCTAATTATGAACAGCGAAGTGTTTGGCATTCCTTTGTCGCTAAAAGGACTTGAATTTACATTAAGAATGCATTTATGGGCACTACCCTGTCAGATCTCAACATACTCGGGCCTAATTGGACTTCTAGGCGGATTTAATTGAATCAAATAGGTTCGGTGTGCTGGATATTTATTAAATGCGAGTATCTGTGGAGAAACGCATTTAAATTAAGAGCAGCGTGTCACGTGGCGTATGCGTAATTTGATTATTAATTAAATTTCCCAGGCCAGGAGCCAACGAAATGCGGCACTTAAACGGAGGCCAATCGAATTAGGCCGAGAGCAGGCTGCAGGATACGGTGAAGCGGGGATACAGGAATGCGGCTAGGACCTACCAGGATGCTGGAGGCCACAAAAACAATGACCCCTGTTTAATGACAGCCACGAAGGACAATGCCGTTCAGATCCTAACCAGAGTCCGGAATCTCCACAATCCAGTAGCCAGAGCCCCCGGTCCAAGGAGTAATGGGAAGTAAACAAATCAAATAAGATTTATTATGTGACACGCATAAAACGAGGACAATCGCACGGCTTAACGAGCGGGGACAGCATGTGAGCGGGGTCGTCCAGGAAGGTCCTCCGACTGGCCGGCAGGACAATGAGCTGCTCCCAGCGCCGGGACTATTAAATCAATTGAGTGTAAGATGGCACGCACGAGACTCCGGCCACAGCCTCCGTCATTCCATCTGCAGCCAATTCCCGGAAATGGTTTCTAATTAACGCGCCTCATTTAGCACACGCCTCGTCCGCCACTCGGAGAAATGGCAAAGATCGATTTGGTTGGGTGACAAGCACAGTTCAAAGTTTAAAAGGACCTACTAGAGAAATTCGGGTTAAATTTAATATTATTTTTGGGCTTCTGGGGAACTGAAAAGAGAGTTTAGAGAGAGTTAAATTTTTAAAAATATTTGTTAAATATTTGTTTAATAGAAAGCATATAGTCATTGCTAATAATTAGGTATAAGAACAATTTAAGTAATTTCTAGTTCGATTTAATTTTCTATAATATCAAAGATTTACTATGTATTTTTATATTATTTATTTAATCTTTAATTCCACATTTCATCAAAAGAAAACCTACCAAATGCTGCTTACATTTATTTCTCCCAGTGCTCCTCATTCTTTCAATGAGTCTTTCCAAGCTGAATTCGTTATCAATCAAGGACTAAAGTGTCCTCAATCTTGTCGAGTTCGTTGAACATGATCCCTGCAACAAGGACAACAACAGCGACAGGATTATGGGGCAATTATGTGCAAGTGCTTAGCGCATTTCCCAGCTAATTAGCCATTTGGACAACATGAACTGCTGCATTTCGGGTGTCCACTGCCAATTGAATTCACAATTGAATGCCCAGCGGGCAGCGATGCCTCCACACGTTGACCTGGTTGGCATCCGAAAATGGAAATGGTTGGCAAAATGGGGTGGAAAGTGGCCGCCAGCCATGCACACATGCACAGCGACAGATGACGATGATACTGAGTAGGGGAGAGGGGGCCACCTGGCAGGCAATCAAAAGGAATGGCGGTCATTCCCCCTCCCCCCACCCATGCCCTTAACCCATTAAGCTTCCCATGCTCGGAGCTGTTTTAATAGCCTTTTTGAATTTTGGCTGAGTGAGTATTCCTTCCATTGTAAAATCGACAATAGTTTGCAGTGGATCAGGAGAGAAATGACTGAATATGGTAAGCTTATTTTGGGAGCTATGGCAACATGTGTGGGTGGTGCAGCTGTTGCTCCCTTAAGGTCAAAATTTCTGGCAATGTCAGAAATAGAGTAATCTCTTTAACTTTAAAGGGGAGCAAGTAGAGTGCTTAAGTTAGAGGGAGAGCTAGTTTTTATAATCTATCATCTTTTTGTTGTACTTGTTTAAATGGTAATAAAATTCTTAACGATTTTTTTGCAGCGATTTCCCGGGATTTTTCCTCTTAATCTCAGCAGGATGAAAGGCAACGCTTTCTCAAAGGAAAATCATGGGAAACGATGGGCGGCGAGTGCAGCTGGCAGCGACAACTGGCGGAAGTAATAGCAACATAATCGATTTGATGCTGCCTTTTCCCTTATCCCGGCTGCAGTTTGCAGACGGATGAGAAATGCGACAGCGGATGTGGATTGGGATTGTGAGTTGGATTCGGTTTCGGATGCGGATACGGATGCTTGCTGCCTTTGGCAGGAAGTAATTTTCCAAGAGTCGCAAATTTGAGAAATATTCAACTTACTTATAACGCAAAGCCAGCAGATTTGGTTATGGCAAAGTGAAACATAAGCTTATTTTTGTACATCATAATAAGCAATTTTGTAATTAGTAGAGTGGCAGTTGGAGTGGCATAAACCTAGGCTAGACTTTTTGTGACTTTTACGGGTCACATGTGTGTGCCCCGCCAATTTCGCTCAAAGCGTACAAAAAAAAACCCAGCATGACAGACAACCAAAGTCGACACAAATCCGGCCAACTCGAAAGTCAAACGAAACTGCGACTCCTGCCAACGTTGCCAGGATGACAGCCACGTGAATGGCAACTGAAACTAACAGCGAAGAAAATGCTAAAAATTGCTATATTGCAGCAAGCTGCTATCATTTGTTGATGTTGCCATCGCCATTTCCATCGCTGTAGTGTCATTATTTGCCATAATACCCGCGATGTTGCCGTCATCAGTTTTGTCGCATTTTTGTTTAAGCACAAAAATCATATTTTATATGCCACAGGACGACCCAGTTGGCCAAGAGAAGAGCAAGCAAGCTAGAGAGGAGTACGTGACTTTAAGGGTTCCTAGTTAGCTTATAGAAACCTCGAAAAATATTAAAGAAAATAGAGAAAAGTAAGCAGCTTCCTAAAAAATATGAAGTTGATTTTTGAATAGTTGTTAGTTTTTTAATAACAATTCCATACTCTAAGGACCTTTTAACACCCTCGCTCTACACTTTTCCCATCACTGGCATTAACACGATTTCGTTCACCTGCTGCTCTCTCTGTGCACTCCGCGCTCTCCTTGTTCGTCCGGCTGCCACTTTTACATTTTAACATAATCATAAATTTTTATGCGGCGCGCCGTCTGCAAGGAATGCTCCTGCACTCCTTCTCTTCTCGCCCCTCCATTACTCCTTGTAGTTACAGTTGCCTAGTTTCGATAGTTGGCCCCTGGCTGGGCACCTGCTGGAGAAGGACCTTCGTCCCGGCCGCTTACTTGTTGCTCGCACTCAACAAATTGTTTTCCCCCCGGCTCTTACCAGCCCGACTTTGCCACCGACTTTCTTTCGGGGGTAATCGTAATCGTATTTTGCTCCTTCAAGTGTTTCCCTTGAGCTGTTTCCGTTTCTAATACATTTCCCCCTGCGTCCTGGTTTTGGGAGAGCCACAGTCAGAGCCAGAGCCAGAGCCAGAGCACGTTCCGTGCTGGCAGGTACAAAGTGGCGTATACGTAATGTCTTCATTTCCATTGTGAGGCGTTTGGAGTTGCGTGCGGCAATTTATTGAATTCTTTTGCCAAGGCCGGAGCACTGCGATTTGTGTTTAGGTTGCTGCCCAAAATGGGCAAGGATCGATTTGGGTTATTTTGAGGTGTCAAATGGAATAGTTTGTTATTCAAAATATAAAGTATGTACACAGAAGTCCCTTGTGATTGGCTTTGTTCCTAAAAATCACCAGCGGAAAGTTAATATATTTTTAATTATGGGAATTAAATACATTTCAAACTTAGTCTACTAATTAAATATTCCATTCAATAGATATTCAATTTGTTTTTTCCACAATAATATTTGCCGCCAATTTTGAATTTACAAATTAAACTCTGCACTTTTTTCCACTCACGGCATATCAATGCCTTTGATTTGATTTCGGTGTAAATAATTTGAAATTATATTTATAATTTAATGGTAATTGATATTTCTGTTTGTTGGCTGCGATTCTCATTCGGCTTCGTGAAAAACCAATTAAACCGGCAGTGGGCAAAGGCGGCGCATGGAACATAAATACAAATCGGTTTATATTTGATAACCCAATTAAATAATTATGTAAATGCATGCGTAAATATTTTGTAATTGCATTTTGGGGTGGCCAGAATTTAAGGGTTTTAGGTCCGGCAAGGACATCTGCCCAGTCCTGGCAACTTTTTCGCTCGTTTGACTGCGGTAATTGCCACAAACGGCCGGCTGGCTGTTTGTTTTCGACAATTGCGAGAGAGATTCTGGCCAACTTTTGCGGCCGGGCTCAACTTTTATGCTGGCGGTGGCACTGGCCCTGGGCGCCAACGCCGCCACACTACACCGAATACATTTTGCGTTTAATTCAAAAATTCTATAAATTGTGTAGCATTTATAAATTGTGTTAAAAGTTGTGCCCCATGCCGGGGACTCTTTGCAATTCACATGCTCTGCACGTACCGACAACTGGGAGGGACTATCTGCCGCTGTCGCTGATTTCTGGGAGAGACTGTTTCGGTTACACGTGCATTTATGTGGCGGGAGTGGTTCCAAGAAACAGATTCGCCAGGAAATCTATTAAATAGAAGTATTTTTTAATAAAATAAAAACTTGTTATCTTGTAACTTATATATAATTATTAAATTCACTTAGCTTTGTATATTATTTACGAATATATCTAACATATATTTCAGTACAGCTTAAGGAATAATATCTCCATTTTCCGCTAGATTCCCAACTCGGAAACACCCTCGACCCGCCCACTCTTATCGCTCACACACCCGACCTCTTACACATACACCGCTTTAACTATCCCTGCTTTGCATTCTGAAAGCGTTTAGCAATTATTTCATTTCAAGGAGGGGGGGCCTTTCAAGCCCCTGGAAACTTTTGCAAAATGATTTCGAGTGCATTAAATCGGCTGGCTTGCAACAAATGCGACTAATTAAAATGTGGACAGGGCGTGGCGGAGCTAAAGACCGACGCGACTTGAAACTTTTCCGTGTCTGCCGAAACTCGTTGCGTTGAATTATGACTTTCCGCCGTACTTGCCGTTGTTGTTGACTGTTTGACTGGTGAACACCGTACAGGGGATCCCAGAGGTCTCCTGACTCCCAAAATGATGGGCAGACACCTCTGGCGGCTGGTAAGCCACTTGCCACTTGCCTCTTGCTACTTTTCACCTAGCAAGTTGCAAGTTTCGGCTCAAGCGTTTCGCGCAATTTGCTAAAATAATTATCCCTTTTTGGTGAAATTCAAAGCGGCAACACTGAAACTTTTAGTTGCCAAAACTTAAAACGAATTAAGCAGCGCCAGACGTTAGAGAATGCTGGAGGAAATGTTGTTAGAAAGTGGGGAAGCCAAAGAAAAGATTTAAGACATTGAGAAGAGGGAAATCTGGCAGAAAGAGAAGCTAAAATTAATATTAAATAAATTAGGAAAGCTGTTGAAATATTCTTTAAAATAAAAAATAAGAAACAAAGTGGTTTTTGTATTTAAATTATTTTGGCCACAATGTGAGCAAATTGTAAGTAAATTTGGCTTGCTCAGGGCTTTCTCCATCGACTCCAAATGCCAGCTCAACCACTGGGTGAAATGTTTACTAATTTCCGGCTTCATTACGCTTAAAACCATTAGAAAACTTTGGAAACTCAAACCACTGGAGCATCATTCATTAGAGGAAAACTTCCGCGACTGTCGAAATCCGTTCGAGAGCGGATTGAAAACGCATTAGTCGGCGTGCCGTACCAAGTGTGGCCTAATCAAACGTGTCGCTATGAGCTGGAAGTTTTGGCCACTTATAATTGCAGTTGCACACTTGCCAAGGCCTCTCTCGAAATGCGATTTTAAGCGGCGTTGACATCGATTTATGCCTCGAGTTTCCACTTGGCCCAGGGCAATGGCTGCTAGCCGCAGCATCTCGGCCAGAATTTATAGTTGGTAACTTTGCTTCGGTGGTCTGGCATCAGCTGGTTCATCTCCACTTGGTCCGTTGTGTTCTGGTCTGTCCTGGTCTGTTCTGATCTGGTTTGGTTTTGGGAAAACACAACCGAGGCGGCCAGTGCAAGTGCAAGTGAAAAATTAAATAACAACTTGAACAAGCCCAGGCAGGAAGATGGGGAAAAGTCCCAGGGAACTTGCGGTTCTTCTGCCAAGTCTGTCCATGGATACTCTTTGTTGCTTCTCTTTGAATTTGTATTTATTTGTACACGTATTGTTTTTGTGATATTTTTGAAAATGGAAATAGTTATATAACTAAAAACAATGTAAATTTAGTTGGAGACGTTGGCCTGAGAGGCGCCGGCGAATGCAAAGTCCGTCGGGTTATCCATGGTTGTTGGCGATGGATTCCGGAAATGATCCGCCGACAGGCGGGTAAACAGTATGCCCACGCTCTCGATGAGACCGAGCAGTGTGCCCCCGATAATGGCACTCCCAGCCATGGCGGCCACTCCTTTCCTGGCTGACAGGACGCCTCCGGTGACAGCTCCACTTATGATCGAGTTCCAAGGATCCTCCTTCTGTCGCATATACACCAGGCTGCAATCTACGACGCTGAAGATGGCGCCCCAAGCCGCAAAATTTCCGGCAATCACCGGCGACTTGGCCTTTATGGCTGACAAGCTCCCGGAAAACCGCCTGCCGATGCCTTGGGGTGCATTTCGGAAGCCCTTCAGGGCCTGAAAGATCCCACCACCTATGCAGCCCATGGCGAAGGCTCCACCGCAGTCGTCAACAATGCGATAGGGACACGGCTCCCGGGAGTAGTCCTCCATCTTGCGGTATGATCTTTGGTCGAAACGGAAGCCGAAAAACTGAAACTGATTTTATCCAAATTTTTATACTTTTGCGGTCTATGGGTATTTGGGTTATTTTATGGCTGAAGTGGTATTTGAGGTTCCTAGTCCCGGAGAGAAAAAAATTCTCTAATCTCTGATAACAGTCAGTCTGAGGGTAAAGCTAAGCTTACTGTGATTTTAAGAGCAAAACAATATATATTATATAGCAGTAAGGGTATTCTAAAGTAACCTACTAGTCCGCAGCCATAGTCTGTGCTCGGTAAAGTGGAGGAGACAAGCACTCGGATCTCTTCAGACTGCAGGAGTAGTTCCTGGAGGAGGCAGGAACGAAGGCCGCCCCGCAAAAGCAAACAAACTTCAAGTGCGAGCTGGTCAATAGTCTGAAATAACAGCAAGACAATAACACTGGCAATAACTCGGAGCACTCGAAAGGGCCAAGAGTGTTGGTCAAGTGGCCTGGCAGCTGCCCCCAGGGCTCTTAATTAATTTTTATGAATTGCACGAAATTTGACATGCCTGGCAAGTTCGTTTTTTTTTTTTTTTGGCAAGTCTTTGCCACAAGGACTTAAACAAAGACTGTGGATCCTTGACTGGATGAGAGGCAATTGCCATGAAGATGACAAAGTACTGGAGGTTGCATTTAAATGGCTCGCCTGGGGGACTCCCTCCAGGACTTGCAGAAAGGCAAATAAATGATGGCCAAGACAAATTGGTCAGAATACGCGAGGGACCCTGATGCAGTTAAAGGATAACTTGGCATCTTCGCATAAGCATCTTTTCTTGTGGCATTTACACCATGGAAGAAGTAATTATTTAAATAATAATTAATATAACAAATAATCTTTGAGATGAGTATAAAATTTAGGGGAATATATGTATATATTTCCCAGAAAGTTTACTTGTTGGTGTTAGGCAGCTTTTGTTCCCTGGATTTCCTTCATTAATATTTGTAGCTATGTCTAATATAATTCGATTATAATATTTCTTAAAACATCTTTTAAATACTGAAATAAACTTCTTCATGATTTAACTACCCGATATCGGCATTTTCACAAAGAGATACTTCATCGTCAGGTTGCCAGTCCAATCCTATCCTGATTGCCTGAAAACCCAGGCGACCGGAAGGATTAACTAAACTGTGTGTGCAAGTGGAATACTGTCCACGTCTCCAGTTGGCTTCGATGGTGCGATAAATCCTGGGTTGCTCCACATTCCTTTCACCCATCGAGCACAGGTCGAAGAGCGATATGTTACGATCCGATGCGAGATCCGGCTGGTTAGGATGTAATTATGTGAGGTATGTATCTATACTTGCCCCCTGTACCTATCTGGGTCTTATCTGGGACAGGTGGAATGGGAGTTACGCCCCCTGAGGTGGGCAACAATAAATTATTTCATTGCTGACCGCAAACAACTCTGGACGCCGCTCTCACGTTCGCCATTAAGCGCGGCGTAAAAATAGCTTGAAATATGTAATTTTCCGGCTCAATTACGACCGGGGGAGTGAGGCGGAGTCCTGCGATGCCGCACCCAAGATGCATGTCCGCTGATAAGAGCACTCTGCCGCGGAGTGGACTCGCCACTGGACACCGCGAGTGCTGCGGCGATGTGGCAGTCGGATAGAGTCCGTAATTTGTAGTAAATCTCTGACACTCGGAATAGATCCCACACACATACACACACACACACACACACGTTGCGACGTTTGCTTTTGGGGCATGAATTTTGAAAAATTCATTTGCTGCGTGCCGCATTTTAATAAGTCCAGAGCCAAGAATCCAATTTGAGAAAGCAAATAAACGGAAATTTAATATAGAAATTGTACTTGAAGGGAAATGTGTGTGTGGACCAGCATTTAATAAATAAATATACGAAGAATCAACAAAATTCCTGTCACAAGTCCCATCTATATCGTAAAATATAAAATCAATGCAGCTGTCGGTGCGACAAGGATATGTGGACCTGGCTGAGGGGTTAAGCAACTCTCCAGCTGGGCAAAAATGCTGGCAGACGGGTAAATTTTAAACATCGCACGTGGCCATAAAAAGCAGGCTAACGAATGTGCCCAGGACCGGGAGCAGAACCAAAACGGAAGTCGGTCTGGGAAGTGGAACTGCATTTTAGCGCCATATTTTATGCACACTTAGAGTCACACACAGGACTCTCGCCAGGAATCCGAGGACGCCGAGTGCTGCAGTGTCAAAGGCAATGCAGGCAAAGATAAAGAACCGAAGTAGCGAAAGGAGCATCAGAAACAAAAGGTTAAAGGTTAAAGAGTGAGAGATAGCAAGAGAAAACCCTCGAATTGGGCTAAGCAAATGCCAGGAGCCGCAAATAAAATGCACGCCCTTCCCACTCGGACAACAGTGCGTATAATGAATATTAATAAATGCTCTGCTGAATTAATTTCCCCCGCCATTTGGCGGCACCTAAAGCCCCGCCTAATTGAATTTTAATTAATTAACAATGTTCGAGGGGTAGCCAAGTGTCGGAGTATTGGCCCAGAATGGCTGCCATCTGCCGGGTGATGGCCAAAAGGAACAGGCTCCGGCAATGAATTTCCCTCGGACTATGCAACACATTGCCGAAAAGTTCCAAAAATTGCTGTGGCCTACTATAATTGCTGTTCAATATGCCACATCATTTTCGCCTCATTAATCACTGCTGGGCCATTTTCATTAGACTCCGACTCCAATCATGGAGAAGACGGAGGCTGGCAAATGGAAATATATTTTATGTATTGTATAGCCCATAATACGGATCAGAAGGAAAGCAGCTGGGAAACAAAGTTATACTTCGCTGGGAAGTTAAATATTTAGCAAGGAAATGGATTAGAATAAATCTTGAAGTTATATGAACTTCATTTATTAAAGGATACAACTAAATGAAATTTAAGTAATGACATTTCGATATTTATGAATATTATCTTCTCACTTTAATGTGTCTTCTTGTTTAAATTGAGTTTTAGTAAGTTGTACATAAATGTTATTTTATGCAATAGGAATAATTTTATAATTTAAAATGGAATTTTTAAATGCTTTAAGAATCCAAATCTTTACTTTCTAAACAAACTCAATTCAACTGGCTTTAAAATCGGTTGCCTGTCTCTGGCTTACGGGCGTTTTCTCACTTTTGCCGGATAAGTCGCTGCCAACATTGGCCGTTCAATTGGAAAGTTGTATGGAAATGTGTCCAAAAACTGTTCTTTTCCCTCCCCTTTGAGTTCGGTGGCATGTGAGGCACGTTCGCGAGATGTCGCTTTTGGCCATTTCGCTGCCATTCCGCTGCCATTTTGTTTGGCTGCTGACAATTATCGATCAGTCCACTCGGCAGCAGGATACGGAAAGGATAAGAGCAAGGGGAGTTGGAGTGTGGTAGTGGGTGTGGGAATGGGTATGAAATGGTAAGGGGTTTGGGGTTCTGGGGGAAATCACGCACAATAGGCGAGCTTAAATGGGCCAACGCATCCTTGGCCTCATTTGCATAAATGACGCGAACATCCCGCATGTTGTTGGGCGAAAATGCAGGGGAAAGTCCTGAACGAGGCATTTATATGTGCATATGTAGAGAGGACACGTACACCAAAAGGAATTTCGAGTTTTAAATAATTAACAATTGAAAAAGAAAGATTATTTCACTGAATCGTAAATAATTTAGGACAAGTTTACACGTTATTTTTATCTTAAAATAAGATTAAATCCAGATAATACATTTTTTTAATAAAACAACTTTGGAAGTAGGAAAATATTCTATTAGTTTCATTAGATTTGTTTCAATTCAAGGTTTTTTTTTTAGTGGAATGTTTGTGGTTCTCTTTAGTTTTCCTTTGTATAATTCCTTTTAAAATATATATATTTAAAAAAAAGTAATATGCTTACTGATCAAAGAATTCCTCTATTTTATTCTACAATCCTTTTCTTTAAGTGCCCTTAAAGGAAGTGGGAAAAAAGCAGCCATCAATGGCCGGCGCTAAGGGTCCATTTTGCCCGATTGCTGCAACAATTGTTGCATTAAGAGTCCTTCAACAAACGGTGGCCCCACAATTTGTGGGAAAATTGTGTGAAAAGTTTTGCCATTTCCATGGGTTAAAAGCCTAAATCAAGGCCTTCGAAATGAAATGTCTTCATTAAATTAAGCTGGCACCAAAATTAAAATGCTGCGCTGACGAGAAATGTCTCTGCGAGCGGAGCAAGAATTATTAGTCCTTGCCCCCCCCGCCGCCGAAAGTCCTGGTCTGTGTAATTGCCAAGTGTTTTATTGCCAAATTTCGGAGCACTAAGTCGCCTACGTCTAACGTCGAACATTTGTCAAGAACCCTGCTACCCCAGTCGCCCGCTGCCTCCTTGCCTTGATCATAAATTTCCGACCCCTTGACTTTTCGCGCGGAATTCATTAGTTCGTCCTGTGTGTCTGTGTCCGTGTCCGTGCTCGGTCTGTGGACCAAATTAAATTACATTTAATTACTTGGCCCCGGCTCATAACTTTTGGCCAGTGCCCGAGAATGGCTTGCGCTGATAAAGTCCTCGCTCGGTCCATATGTCCTGTCGGTCTGTCATCATTGGACAAATGCCCCCAAACGCCTTGAGAACCAAAGGACCCTTGAGGATATTGGGAATACGAATGGGAAAGTGCAGCTGCAGCTGTGGGCTATAGCTGCAGCCGAGTTGGCCCAATCACTTTTCGGCCAGCTCAAGTGGCCTTTTGGAGAGGTCCTGCTGCCTGCTCCTGACAGCTTGAAAATATTTTCGTTGACTCTCGAGTGGCGACAGCCGGCTAAGACAGAGATGAGATGCGTCCTCGACCAGGACGAGCCAAGATGTGATAAGTTAGCGCAGGATAAGAGTCCGAAACTGCAAGCGATGGCTAATACAAATGCCGGCCATATATATTCCGTTTCCGGCCAACACTCGAGGCGAGAGTGTGGGCCTGACAAAATAAATATAGGCTTAAAAGTGGAGAGTTACTTTTAAATGAAAAGGAAAATAAATAAGCAGAGTAATGTTCCCAGTAAGTTTTTTTAATTAGGAATTATAGGTAGCTCATTTAATAATATATTAAAAAGGTTAGAAAAGGTTTTAAGACTGACTTCATTAGGATTAAACTTGGTTTTTATTCTCTTGATATTAAGCTGAAAACAAAGTTAAATAATCCAGTTAGTTAAACT